CAGCATTTTAGACTAAGTACTTCCGCGTGGTTTCGTTTGATTCAGCGGTGGTAAATGAAAACAACCAGGTTCTCGGGGGACATGAGGCTGAGAGAATAGTTTCAAGAGGATCTTTTAAATTCCCGATGGTCCTTTCTCGGAGTCATGGAGAAAGCTGCTCGGAAAAGATAAGGAGCAAAAAGTTAATAGGTTTAGTGCTAAGATAAATGTTCAGTCTTCGTTTGAAAGCAGACAGTCTAGTAAACGACCTAATTTCGATTGACAAGTTATTCCTAAGAAAGCTATATCTAGTTATCACTATCCGATGGTATGATTCGGTAAATATTTATATGTTCCATATACAGTGATTAATTAGTATTTTCTAATTTAGATACAGTGGAGGAAGTTATTAACATCTACGGAGAAGAAGTAAGTTCTGAGGTCTATTCGTAAAATGCTTAAATTTTATTTTTATTTCTCTTGCAGTTATTAATTCACATGCCAGTTAGAATATCCGATGCCATCTTGTATTGTTAACCTGGATGGCAAGTTGTCTAAACTAGACTTAAAATGGGCTCCTCGGTTAACTAACTGAAGAAAAGACATACACATGCTGCTGAAAGTCTGCCAGCCCATGTATATGAGATTATGGAGCGCCACTGCGCCGTGAGTTAACTGTGACAGCAGGCCTTTCAGGAGTGAAGGATCATGCTCTAACAAATCATGTCTCACGCCTTTTATGCGCAATCCGAGTTAAATCTCTGGCATATCATCTTGAAGTGCGATGGTTCCCAAATCAAAAGACCGTGTAAGCAGTTATTCAGAAACCTTGTACAGCAGCAAGAGAACAGTTAATCGGCTCGACAGGTAACTGTTCCCCCCAGCCGCGGTTCAGGGCAGTTGGTTGTGGTACAAAGTACGAACGTCTACTTGTAATCAATCAGAAAATGAAATAATGGCAACGGGCGCTAAGTTGTCATCACACAGGGACTAACGTACGTGCGACGAAAACGTTCGATTTACTGGGCGTGCTCGAGGTAGCGACAGGGGGTATGGGTTCGTAGCAGTGCTGGTGACCAAAAAAACGTACTTTTATTGTGATTTTGAAACAAAAGTTAGTTAAAAACACTATTTGCGCGGCTCTGTACGCAGCTACATCAATAGTGCAGAGGAACAAACGAAAGGCGTCTTTTCTCATCGTC